CGTAAGGTTACCTATCGTTGGTTACGCGAGATTATAGATTGTGGAGCAACCGCGTCGCAGTCATTCTTTTCCCAACACTTCGAAAGAAAAATGTTGATGCAGCTTTATTTTGATATACGTTTTGAATTTTTAAACTTTGAACGAAGATATCTTGACAACTAAGTCAATTTGTTAAACCTTTTTTATTTGAATTCTGCAAACTTTTGGAATTCAACTAAAAAGTTTATAGAATTAAAGTTTTAAGAAAACTCAACGTTTACCAATTAACGACTGCGCCAAAATTTTTCTCAAACTTTAATCGAAGATGTTTCAAAAACCAATAAGTAAAATTTAATGAATTTTTTTATTTAAAAATTCTACAAATTCGTAAAATTCAAATAAAAAAAAGTTTATTAAAATTGACTTAGTGGTTGTTGGGATATCTTCGCTTAAATCTGAAAAAATTAATTTACAAGGGAGTACGAATAAAAAATAAGAAAAAAATCGCATTTTTTCTGGTGGAACCGGTAATTGATGCCGGAGCAAACCCACAGTGAAGTAACAGTCAACAACCTGCCAAGCATACTATGCAAGGGTGATCATTTTAAAAACAAATATTCTCAGGCATACCGAAAAATTAATTGCAATTAATTTTTGCCATTAGAGATGGGCAAGGTAATTACTTATTACGTAAAAAATCAAATCACATTATGCGACAATTTACTAATAATATATACTTGTAACTAATAACATGCTAAATTGTCGCATAGTGTGATTTAACTTTTTACGTAATAAGTAATTACCTTGCCCATCTCTATTTGCCATACAATTAAAATCAATTAAAATTATCATGAAATTAATTGAAACCCAATTAATGACGAAATAATTGCAATTAATTGCAATTAAATTCAATTTTCTGCGTAAAGCGCTGCTTGATGTAACTCGATTTTTAAACAGCGAAAAACCAAAAATCACATGTAATTAATAATATTAATGGCGAATATATCAATTACGTAAAATTGCAATTAATTGACCAATTGTGACTGCGCCATCAATCAATCAATTAATTGCCCCTTATGATATTACTATTACTCCTTAAAACCAACTTTAATGCTACATGATGATCCGTTACACAATTACGTATCAGATAATAACGTACGTACGTACGTACGTAATAACATACATCATCTTTACGTTTCTAAACTATATTCTCATTAACACTCATGGCGTCTGAATTAATGGAAAATATTCTTAATAATCTAAATAATGAAATTTATTCCTTACACTCATGTGCACTTGTGAACTGGCATTGGTGCAAAATGCCAATACCTATTCTTTGGCGAGATCCATTTTTAAAACCACTATTTGATTATGCAAGATTTTTAAAGGCTCTTGATCCATCTTATTTAGAAAGTGGAGTTAAAAAATGGACACGACAATTCATTACGTAATTACTTTACTATTTAAATTATTTGTTGAAATTGGCGCCACATTGCACAAATTCGCTTTATATAAATCTTTCAAGTTTAAGCCAGAGATCTTTTACTCATCAGAACGAAATGAACAATTTTTTTCACGGCTACAATGTTTATCTTTGAATATTACGCCGGACTTCAACGAAGGTCCTGGCAAAAACACTAGAACAATAAGTATTTTGAATCAATTTCATTTTAATTATGAACCACTGAAAAATTGCAAAATTTTCGAAACGTTTCGTATTAGATGATGTATCAGAAACATTAGATTATACAATCAGCACTTAAATAGTTCATTTTCACAGATTGGTGCACGGTATACAGGTATATGAGTTTAGTCTCACAAAAAAAATGGAATATCCATACACAATTAGAACTTAATTCTGAAGTGTTTTTAGAAGACTTGGTGTCTCTAAGAGCAATTGATACATTTTGACCAAACATTAGATATCTATACATTAAGAAAATTAGGTTTTCCACACAACTCCTAGATCTTATTGGTAATTTACAAAAGCTTTAAGTTCTATTATGGTGCAAGGTTGACAACATGCCAGACAAAAACTGAAAATACGAGTTATGCAAGTTGCAAAAATATTGCCGTTAATGTCATGGGTTAATCGGTACCCAGGTTATCAGTTTGTGTATTATGTATGTAGATCGTGATTGAATAAATTGTTGTTCAAACACAATCCATTATCAAAAACTCGATGAAATGGGAATTGCCGATGAAACGACGATGGTGGTAAATCCGGTGATTCTAAGTGGCATAGAAATGGTATGAACCCATAAAAGATGAAAAGAATAATGTTAGAAATCAAGTGAGAATATAACGAAAGAATAATATGAGAAATGTGAATGGATGTACGAACGTAATGAACGAAAAGGAAATAAAATCGGAAGGTGATGAAACATATGTGGTTATCAAGATGGAATTAGAGTTGAAGCGAACGAGAATGATAGTGATGTAAAACGCGATGATTATGGTGAAAACGTAAAAGACGATGTCAATAATGTTAGAGAAAATCATGAATGGGGAAAAGAGATCTTACCTAATTCAAGAATAAACGATCAAGCTGCGATAGATCATTGTGATGAAGCAGGAGTCGAACGGATATGAAATCAGCAGATCTGGGTGACACGAATAGAAATGGTGTTAAAATGGATGAAAGTAAAGCGTTAGAATACTATCAAAAACCCATCGATTTGGATTACAATAGTGGAACCTACGAACCTGGTTGTCGTTATCAAAACGAAACTAATTAGGAAAGAATGCTCATATATATGAGACATTCGTCGGTTATCAAGAAGTGGATGACATTGATCGAACTTTCTTTGCTGGATATCGACATGAAAACGGGGTTTGTGCTGAAAAAGTGTGAATATAGATTTGAGAATGGAAATGATGAACATACGGCATTCATTTATCGCCAAAAATCTGCTAAAGGTGAATATAGGGCACCTGAATGCCATCAATATGGTATAAGCAAAGCAATGTATAATATGACATTCATGTGGGATTTGAAATCTGCTGAAGTAAAAAGTCCCGATGGACGAGATGATATTGGATGGTGTTATCAATATAGAATTGGCGTTAAAAATGATGTGGATAAAACATCCATTTATTATGTGAAATTTTCTGATATGGTAAATGTAGTCGAAAAACAGAAATTCATTTATTATCAGGGATCTTTTGGGACAGATGATTCTGATAAAACATTTAATATGGATAACTATTATTTTTATAGAACTAGGATTAATACAAGGCATTCGATTTTCATTCCGGTCATTGAAATGTATTGAAGATGATTGGAATAGAGAGAACGATTTTAAAGACTGTGATGTAGAGAATGCTGATAGAATATGTAGTGCTGGTTATTGTGATGACAATGGAATTGAAGTTGAAACGGTATTCTAAATCAGCTGGAAATGGAAATCCAGGTCAACAATGTAACTTTGGGTTATACTATCAAGATGGTATAAATATTGACAAAAATGAAAGAACGATGATCGAGTGGTATTTGAAAGGTGCTGATGATGATTTTGATGGCCTATATGAAGATCAGCATTGGTGCAAAATGTCAATACCTATTCTTTGGCGATATCCATTTTTATTTAAAAAACGAAGACCTTTATCATTTCTAGATATCTTTCACCTCTAAACGATGAAGAAAATTTTATTTTAAAAGAATGTGGGATTGTTATAGAACTTTCCAAAACACTATTCGATTATGCAAGATTTTTAAAAGTTCTTGATCCATTTCAGTTAGAAAGTAGGAAGTTTTGCCTAGTTGCAAATGAAAGCTCTACGGAATTTACAACATCATTCAGCTTTAGAAAGTCAAAAAAATTCTTTAAAATAAGTTGTTGATGCAAAGTTCGAGATACTGAAAATTTGCAAAAATTTAAATACGCTCCGTACCGCGATTAATTGATCATAAGTATAAACAGGATTGTAAATTTCATATATTCAGATGTGATTTATACTCACCTGATCCTGTTAATCTTGTCGAATGTTTTCCTCTGGTATGTATAATTTGGATTTATGATATTCAATTGGGAATATGCATGTCATGAAATGGATTTAGAATATATGGGATTTTTAGAGTGTTAATGTAGTTTATTTGACTAACATTATATTGTAATTATCTATATATATGTTTTTTTTGAGGCGGAATTGTTACAATAACACCGCAAGTTTTTCTGTCATGACATTATAGTGATATTATTCAAAGGGTCATGGATGTCTGCAATAAGGTTATATTTTTACTGATTGCTCAAAAACCACAACTCATTTGAATCTAAATTTTATTGTTATTTATTAATAGCAAGTTATGGACAAAAATTGGAAATGGACTATAAAATTATATTCGGAAATAAGCACAATACTTGATGCAATATGTAACGAACAGAAGTTTAAGTATGAATTTTATAAATTTAAAATTCGTATTCTTAATTATAACTATATATAATATTCTTTATCTATAATAGAAATTTTGAATATACACGAAATACATATTATTCATTTACAAGCCAAATATTCAAGAACCTTTTTGAATGCTATTTAACGATGAGGAAGTTAAATGTATTGAGGTAATGATTGCTTGCTCTTGAGAACTATTGTAATGAATAAAATTTTTCTTTCCTATTTTATTTTATTAGTATAGTTTATATTCTTTATTATATTATTATTTATGTATATAGTTTTCCCGTTCTATTTTCATAGCAATAACCGACTTTCTTTGTAAATATTTTAATTGAGTATACTAAAATGGTAGTTGATTGTGGCTTAGTGGCTTATTCTATGCAAGAGCGTAAACGCTCAAACAAAGCGCGTATATGTCCTTACACAAATTTGTTGATCCCTGCGCCATGAGCGTATACGTTCAAAACAAGAGCGTATACGTCCAAAAAAAGCGTACACGCTCAAAAGAAGAGCGTATACGTTCAAGAACAGAGCGTAAACGCTCACACAAAATAAATGTATATAAGTACCTTGCAATTCAATAAAGAGCGACATCATTGTCCACTTTCACTCAATAATAAAT